TCCCTATCTTTATTTTCACATCTGGGGATCACTAAGTACCAAAGTTATGTAGAAGGCTAGGTAAAGAATATGGGAAATGAAATCTGTTAGCTAATATTATAAAGATAATTTATGTCATGTTTGAGTTAGAGTTTCTAAAGTAATTAAAAAAGGTAATACAGAAACAGAGAAATTAAAGAATCCAGTAAAGTTATAGTCATCCCAGGATGGTATAGAATATTACAGGAACACAAGATGTTGAAAAAGAAGATAACAAAAATGAGTCCCCTGGAAAAATGTGAAACAAAATCTACACCACAGATTGTCATATAGCTAGAAAATAGTTTCCACTATGCTGTCTTTGATATTTTAGGTTTGTTTAAACAGCAACTTTCACCTCTTAGGAAATGACCCTGTATTAATACTCAAGGCTTTGCAGCTTTTAAGTCAGAAACAAATAATGCTTCTAAATTTAAACAAGCAGGATACTAAGTGTAACCCAGGCCATAGCTGATAAATAAGAATGATCTTCGGGAAAAGTCAAACGATCTTGAAATTTTTCATACCTTTCCTCTTCTCCAATATGAGAAGTCCTAGTCAAGATATGTAAAACATTAATAAAGGATTTTTATATTTTTTATTGCTCACTCCAAAGCAAATACACTTTCCTCTTTGCAAGCCTGACTTTGGAAGAGTCACACCCTCACAATTCTTTTATAGACAAAAGTTTACTGCTTTGGTTTAGGTGTTTTCCTACCTTTGGGTGTTGCTCTCTATTATTTTGGCAACTCCACAGAAAAACAAGATAAATCCATTACGCTTATATTGAATTGTTCAAAGTCAAGATGTCTTCAAACAGTTTTCTGTTACCTTCTTCACTGCTAATTAAAGTTTAATTATTGCTCTTTAAATGAAACAAAAACGTGTTACTTTAATGTATATTCTCATTGAAACTAGTGATTACAGGAGTGTCTGTGATTGCTTTTTTAATTGTTTTCAAATATTTTCCTTAGTTATTTTCATTATTGCCTTTGTTGCAGTCTTCTAGTCAGGAACACAGGGTTACCCAAAAAGATCTTCCTAAGATATAAGATGTTAGGCAGAAAAAACTAGATGTATAATTAACGATTTTCATCTCTTAAGAGACTGCAAAGCTCAGAAGACATTTTGCTATTACTGGCATGGTTAAGATGACTTGAATGTTTTGGATCTTAAACTAAGTGAAATTCATTTAAAATGTTACAGTTGTTCCAAACAACGATGATAGCTTATACTTTTCTGCTCCAACAAGATGAAACCTCTGATAAAGTTGGAGGGTATATCGATTTTAGGGTAGAAGGGCTAATGTTAAAAAGCCAAGGAAAATTCCTAAAACAGCACTGCCTATCACATATCATTTAATTATACTTATGGTATATAAGTATATAAACATACAAATATGAATTGAGTGACAAATATGTGATTTACAAAATTCAATGACAACTAAATCCAGAAAAAACTTCTCTATATTTATATAAACTGGTATATCTAGTGAGGATGTAAAATTTTTTAGAATATATATTTTAACACTTATGTCAAAATATTTATTTTAACTGTTTATTTTTAGTCAGTTGTGGGGCTTGAAATCTGGGCCTGGACACTGTCCCTCAGCTCTTTAGCTCAAGACTAGTGCTGTACACCTTGAGCCACTGTCAGTTTTTTGGTGGCTCATTGGAGATAAGAGAGTCGTCGACTTTCCTGCCTAGTCTGACTTTGAACCATGATTCTAAGCTCTCAGCCTCCTTAGTAGCTAGGGTTACAATAATGAGCTACTGGCTCCTAGATACATAATCATTTTTACATATTTATAAAGTATTGAGTGGTAATCCCATTTATTTATATATTGTGTAATGATAAGCTCCATCATATCCATTAATTTCTGCATGTAACATTTCTTTTTAGAGAGAATGCACTAAAATGTATCTTCTGGGTGTGATGACATATCTATCCTTAACTATAATAACTTTGTTTCTTGTGGTATACAAGTGCTGTTTGCTAGAAAATACAGCCACTACCTTCGATAAGAGCTGTTAAGCCTTGGAGCCTATTGATACCCTGATTGACAACATTGCTTGGAGCAACCACTTTCCATAAGAGCCATTAAGCCTTACAACTTACCAATGTCCTGTTTGACAACATTGCTTGGCGCCTTCTGAAGATTCCTCACCTATGACCTTTTGCAAAATATACTTTGCAGTTTTGGTGCCTAGCAACCCTATTGACCTGCTGATGCTAATTGCCCTGTTCAGCGTGGTATATATACTGCTGTGTAAAAAATAAAGTTTGAGACCTTGATCAGAACCCTGTCTTGGTCTCCTTTCTCGTGCCTGGTTTGTCTCTCATTCAGGTCAGTTCCTCTTTGAGCCCTTGTTGACCGACCCAGCGGGCCGGGGCAGGTGGTGCCCAACATGAGGCTCGAAGCTTGGATCCTGGTCTGAACATCGTCCGATTGACCAGCCTCTCTCTTCTTCTTGGATGGCCACCCAGCCCGTGAGTGAAGATCTGCATACTGATCACTGCAGAAATGCCCGACTGTGATACAGATCTGTAAGGTAAGGGAGGTGATGCAATCATGGGACAAACACTTAGTAAGCATGAACTTTTTGTTCAAGGCCTAAAAGCCTCACTCAAGGCACGAGGAACACGGGTTAAGAAAAAAGATTCAACTCAATTTTTTATACTGATGGAGGATATTTGCCCTTGGTTTCCTCAGGAAGGCAATATAGACAAAGGTAGGGTCATGTTGGAGACTGTCATAAGGATTATTATGAAACTTTTGGCCCCAAAAAGATTCCTGTTCAGGCTTTTTCATATTAGAACCTCATAAATGAGATCCTCCAAGTTTGCCACCAACACAAAGATGTGTCTAGAGTGGTTAAGGAAGGTGAAGAATTTTTAAAAATTAAATTTACAGGGAGTCAGGCCTCCCTTGCCCCAAAACCCTTCTATCCCCCCTGAGTCGCGTCTCATTGTCGCTCGGTTTCCAAACCAATGCCTGACGCTAACAGTGACTCACAATTACAAAAACCAAAAGCTATATACATGGTTCTTTCTAACCTCAGATCCCAAAGGACCAATGATGCTGTCCTTCCCCCGGAGGACTAGGCCACTTTAGGAGAGGAGGCTGCTAGATACCACACCTCAGACTGGCCCCCTCTAAACCCCTTGGGCATGCAACCTTCTCCCTATAAAACAGCCCCTCCCTTCTGTGCCCCTGCCTTGGCCTCTTCAACAGATCTTGAGGAGGTCACCAGACAAGCCACAGTTAAGCTTTCCCGGGAAGCCCAGTCCTTCAGGGCCCTACTTCAGGCCAAGAAAGAAAAGGCCCAACTATTACAACTATATAAACTGGACCTAGAAATTAGGAACACAAATTTACAAAAATTAATGACAAAAAAGAAAAAGATCCTTCATGCTTTTCCATTCACTCAGTCTCAAATTAGAGCCATTTCGGAAAATCTAAAAGGAGAATCTGATGATCAAGAGACTGAGGCAGATGACAGAGAGGAAGAGCGGGAGGGAGGGCCCAAGTGTGATGACTCAAATGGGGAAGAGAAAGGAGGAGAGCATCTGGTTATTAGAGCTCAAAAATACCATCACCTTAAATTTAGACATATTAAAGAATTAAAAAATGCTGTTTCCTTGTACAGCCCTACCGCTCCTTTTACCATTTCTCTTTTGGAATCATTGAGCGAGGACTGGCTTACAGTAAATGACTGGGCCATGCTAACCAAGGCTACTTTAACACGAGGAGATTTTCTTTTATGGAAGGCTGATTATGGTGAAAGGTGCCAGGATATAGCTCGCTCTAACACATCTGCTGGTTGTCACTCTAAGTCCTGGACCATAGAAAAATTGATGGGCAATAAGCCATTTGATACTAATGAAAAACAGGCTAAATTTCCCCCAGGATTGCTTGTTCAGATTCAACATGCTGCCCTTAGGGCCTGGAAAAACCTCCCTTCTCAAGGGTCCGCTGTTACCTCCTTGGCCAAAGTTCTACAGGGACCCCATGAATCTTACAGTGAGTTCATTGGACACCTTACAGAGGCTGCCGAGTGCCTTATGGGAAAGGAAGAAACTGATAATGAGCTTATTAAACATCTTGCTTTTGAAAATGCCAATTCTGCTTGCCAAACGGCTTTACGTCCCCACTGCCGTGGAAAAACCATTACTGACTTTATCAGACTTTGCTCTAATGTTGACCCCGCCTCGCGCAACATCGGCCTGGCCATAGGCGCTGCCCTTAAGAGAACCAAAAACCTAAAACCTGCTTTAATTGTAAACAGCCTGGCCATTTTTCAAAGGACTGTACGGCCCCCAAGGCTGAAAAACCACCCCCTCTGTCTTTATGCCCAACGTGCAAACGGGCCATACATTGGGCCTCTGAATGTCGCTCCAAAACCAATATCCAGGGCAATCCCCTACCACCCAAACAGGGAAACTTTGTCCGGGGTCTGCCCCAGGGCCCCAAAAACAAAACAGAACAGAACCCTGGAGCTGTCAGGTTCGTCCCCCAAGAGACCCCTCACGCATCATCAGCGCCCTCATATGGGCAACCACAGGAAGTGCAGGATGGGACCTCTGTGCCTCCTCCCACACAATATTGACCCCTGAGTTAGGAAATCAGATTCTTTCCACAGGAGTGTTTGGCCGAACATCCCCAAACACCTTTGGTCTCATTCTGGGGTGTGGTAGTGCTGTTTTTCAGGGCCTTAGTATTTCCCCTGGGGTTATTGACAAGGACTATGATGGAGAGATTAAGTTACTGGCTACTGCTTCTCAGGGGCCAATCAAAAGTTTTTCCTGGACAAAGAATTGCTCAATTAATATTGCTTCCCCTTGATAAGACAAACCCTAGCCTTACACAAAAGAGAGGATCCAGAGGCTTTAGGTCTTCGGATGCTTACTGGGTCCAGGAGATTACTCAGGACCGGCCTCTCTTCAAGCTAAAATTGGATGGGAAAAAATTTTAAGGCCTTATGGATATGGGTGCTGATGCTACAATTATTTCTAAAAGAGACTGGTCCCCATCCTGGCCCCTTACCCCTTCCATGACTCACTTTAAAGGCATTGGACAAACCTCTAACCCATTACAGAGCTCCAAAATTTTAACCTGGGAAGGTGGAGCAAAAAATAAGGGCACAGTCCCGCTGTACATGGTTGAGACCCTCCCGGTTAACTTGTGGGGACGTGATATTTTATCCCAAATGAAGCTTATAATGTATAGTCCAAATGAATTGGTTACTCAACAGATGCTTAACCAGGGCTTTCGCCCTGGACAAGGCTTAGGAAAACATTCTCAAGGCCCTGAAGAACCCATTCAGGTGGAGGTAAAAATCATTCCTTTCCGTATGGGCTATAAAAATTTATCCTAGGGCCATTGACATGCCTGTACTCCATGCAGACAAATTATCCTGGAAAAGGACTGAGCCTGTATGGGTTGATCAATGGCCTTTGTCCTCTGAAAAACCGGCTACGGCTACTACAGGTACAGGTACTACAGCTACAGTACAGGAACAGCTTGCTGCAGGCCACATTGAACCCACCACATCTCCGTGGAACACTCCCATTTTTGTAATTAAAATGAAATCAGGAAAATGGAGATTACTTCAGGATCTTAGAGAAGTAAATAAGGCCATGGTGTCCATAGGAGCCCTTCAACCCTGACTTCCAACACCCGTGGCTATTCCCACGGGGTACCATAAGATTGTTATTGATTTAAAGGATTGCTGTTTTACTATTCCTTTACATCCTGAGGACCGTGAATGTTTTGTATTTAGTTTACCAGTAACTAATTTTAAAGGCCCTATGCCAAGATTTCAGTGGAAGGTTTTTACCCCAGGGCATGGCAAATAGTCCCACATTATGTCAAAAGTTTGTAGCCCAGGTGGTGGATCCATTTAGGCAACAGGGGCCCTCCATATATTTAATTCACTATATGGATGATTTACTTTTAGCGGGCCCTGACCCTGATCAGCTTCTTTACTGCTCCCAAAGACTTTCTAAAGCCCTTACTGATGCTGGACTTCAAATTGCTCCAGATAAGATCCAGCTGGCTCCTCCCTATACATTTCTGGGCTTTGAGCTTTTTTATAAAAGGATTTTTTCACAAAAATTCAACTTAGAACAGTCCATTTACAAACTTTAAATGATTTTCGGAGGCTTCTCGGAGACGTTAACTGTCTCCGGCCATACCTTAAACTAACTACTGGTGAACTTAAACCTCTATTTGATATCCTTAAAGGGGACCCAAATCCGACCTCCAGCCGATCATTAAACCCCCAAGCCCTAGAACGTTGAGATTGGTAGAAACAGCCATTACAAATCAACAAATTACTTTTATTACCTATAATAAACCCCTTCAGTACATTATATGTGCCACCAGCTTTACACCCACTGGAGTTTTTTGGCAAGAGGGACCTTTGTTTTGGGTACATTTGCCTGCCTCTCCTCCTAAAGTCCTTACACCATACACCTTCTGGGTAACAGAATTAATCAAAATGGGAAGAGAACATAGTAAAAAAAAATGTTTGGCAAAGATCCTGATAAAATAATACTGCCTTATTCTCCCACTCAAATTCAGTGGTTGATACAAAATGATGATGATTGGGCTGTGTCTTCCATTTCCCTTCAAGGAACCCTTGATAATCATTACCCTGCTAACAAACTTCTCCAGTTTTTAAGATATCAGTCCTTTGTTTTCCCCACACAAACTTCCCCTCAACCCTTATCTCATGCTTTCCTGGGTTTTACTGATGGTTCCTCCAATGGTATAGCAGCTTTTACCATTGATTCTCCGACTGTTTCCTTTCAGTCCCCTTACCGCTTGGCACAATCGGTTGAGTTTTTGCAGTTTTACAAGTGTTTATTCAACTATCTACTGTTCCTTTTAACCTGTATACTGATAGTTACTATATTGCTCATTCCATCCCCTTACTAGAAACAGTTCCTTATATTAAACCAACCACTAATGCCACCCCACTGTTTTCTTTGATTCAACAGTATATTTTAGCCAGACTTTGCCCCTTTTTTATTGGACACATTTGTGCTCATTCAGGCCTCCCTGGACTTTTAACAAAAGGCAATAATGTAATGGATCAAGCAACTCAGCTTGTTTTTCTGGTGGAACATGATCCTGTATCTCAGGCAAAAGAGGCTCACTCTTTACAGCACCTTAATGCTCAAACACTGCGCCTTCTTTATAATATTTCCAGAGAACAGGCGAGGCAAATTGTAAAACAATATCATAATTGTGTCACCTTTTTGCATATTCTCCATTTAGGTGTTAATCCTAGGGGTTTGGTGCCCAATGAAATTTGGCAAATGGATGTTACACATATTCCACCTTTCGGCAGTCTTAAATATCTTCATGTTACCATTGATACATCTAGTGGCTTTATTTTTGCCAGCCTTCACACCGGGGAAGCCCTTAAAAATGTTATTGCCCACGTACTTGCCTGCTTAACTGTTATGGGAAAATCCAACGTTATTAAGACCAATAATGGCCCTGGATATACTGGAAATAACTTTCAACAATTTTGCCACCAGTTACAAATTAAACATATTACTGGGATTCCTTATAACCCTCAAGGTCAGGACATTGTTGAACCGGCTCACCAAACTTTAAAAAATACACTTCAAAAATTAAAAACGGGGAACCATTACCCTATAAAAAGAGCTCCAGAAAACATCCTTCATCATGCCTTGTTTGTTATTAATTTCCTAAGCTTGGACATTAACAGAAAATCTGCAGCTGATCCGCTCTGGCATCCACAAACAAGTCAAAATTATGCTACTGTTTGTTTTTTGGAAAGATCCCCTAATCCATCAATGGAAAGGTCCTGACCCCGTACTAATTTGGGGCCGCGGGTCTGCCTATATATTTGACAATAAAGAGGGCGCAGCTCGATGGCTTCCAGAACGCCTTGTTAAACCAGTTGATAACAAGACTAACTAACCCTCCATCTTCCAGGGGAAAAGAGAACCCTGAGAATCCACCCTTGGTTGTCTCACATGCTGTTGCCACTGAAAAATTTGATGATCCTCCAGATGCTGATGCTGGTTCCAGATGCCATTATTGAAGCTGACTCCGGTCATTGGGAATTTCAAGTTTTTGCAATAGAGTTTGACCTCCCACAACTGTTGAATAAGACCTGCTTTAAAAATAGCCAAGTAGAATTATACTTAGATGCCTGAAAACCCACTGTTCAATATATTTGGGGAACTTGTGGCAGCTGGGAACAGAGTTACGTCACAAATCATAAATACATTTGCTGGAAGCATGTGGCCAGTCAAGCAGGCAATTGTATTGCCCTTATTGGTCCTTCCCACATGAACATTCCGGGTCTCTCAGCTCTAATTTGGAGTTGTTGCATCCTACGGGCAAAAAATGTTTTACAGGTGGCTGTAACCCGGTCAAGTATACAATTACTGACCCATTGAATCCCAAGTGGATATCAGGATTAACAGCAGGAATATGGGTGCATGGCCGAGGGCGAGACCCTTATGGGTTCGTACAAATTAAAAGGTTTGGATACCCAAACCTACTGCCTCCCCCGCTGAAGTTCTTATTCAACAGGTTGTTAATTCCTCCCAAGTTTTTTCCTCTATTGTTGCCCGATTGGATCCGGTGCATTCTTGGACCTTCTCCTTAATACTAGACATCCTTAAGAGGTCCTTTTTGCTGCTAAATACCACACGCCCGGAATTTTCACAAGGCTCCTGGCTGTGTATGGGTCCCACCTATGAGATACCTTTAGATGCGGCTGAGTATTTGGCCCCCCCAATGCTAAATTGTTAGAAGTTATCACCTCTTGCCATGCCTCCCCATATATGTATTCTCCCCAGATTCTGCTGGAGGTTCTACCAGAAAATTCCACATGCATTAAATATATTACCTTTAATCAAACCAAATATTTTTTAGATTGCTGAAGATTTTTTAACACTTCTGGCCTACAGAAGGAAAAGACATATTGTCCCCCCCCAAAAAACCTCCTTTTTATGCCACGATGGCTTATATCTCTTTTTTAGAGGAAATTGGACTAAAGCCTGTATAATTGTTTTTTTGTTCCCCCCATATTGATATTCTTCCCAGGTCAGAACCCGTTCCCATTTATTTGACTGTGTTTGCACGTAGGAAAAGAATGCCCTCATTTATTCCCTTTATCATAGGCTTGGGAGTCACTGCTGGCATGGCTGCAGGTGCTGCTGGCATTGCCACTTCCATTTCACTTCATAACTCCTTACAAAACCAATTGGTTAATGACATTCAAGCAGTAACTCGAATTGTCTTGACCATTCAAGAACAGCTAAACTCCTTGCACAAGTTGTGCTTCAAAATAGGCGAGGCCTCGGCCTTCTTACTGCCAGGCAGGATGGTCTCTGTGTTTTCTTACAGGAGGAATGTTGCTTTTATGTTATCCAGAGTGGCATGGTTCGCGATCAAGTTAGACAACTTCAAGAAAACTTAGAAAAAAGAAGATGGCAAGGTGACTCATCCACCCGATGGTGGGGGACTGACAGCATACTCCCCTATGTTCTTCCTCTGCTTGGACCCCTTAGTGCAATCCTGCTAATTGTTATTGTGGGATCATGTATTTTTTACAGGATAATTCATTTCGTAAGACAGTAAATTGACTCCCTGACATCCAAACCCCTGCAAATTCATTACCACAGGCTGGATTTGGCCGATCAGGAACAGGGTGACTGACTTTCGTGGAGCCACTGTCTCTTGCTATACAGGCAAGTCAAACGGCAGAGCTTAGGCCTCTTGGCAGCCAAAACCCGAATCGGCTAGACACACATGCCATGGGCACCTATGGAAGGGTGGAACCTAGTGGTATCCGCCGACGAGGGCGACCAAAAACTCGCTATTCGGGCTCATAGAAGCAAACACATCTTCATAGAGCTTGGATCCATCTGTAATCCTCTCCCCTCAAAAAGGATCGTTAAAACGTTCTAGGAGGATGAGTCTCTACTTCCTTCCACTGGTAAAGGCCCTTATACTACCAGACCTCTGCAAGACTCGGTTCAAGACCTTGTCACCCATTCCCTGTAAATAATTGGCCCATTTAATTAAATAAAAAGGGAGGAGATGCCGGGAACCAAGTGCTGTTTGCTAGAAAATACAGCTACTACCTTCAATAAGAGCTGTTAAGCCTTGGAGCCTATTGATACCCTGTTTAACAACATTGCTTGGAGCCACCACTTTGCATAAAAACTGCCACCACTTTGCATAAGAGTCATTAAGCCTTACAACTTTGATAACATTGCTTGGCGCCTTCTGAAGATTCCCCACCTATGACCTTTTGCAAGATATACTTTGCAGTTTTGGTACCTAGCAACCCTATTGACCTGCTGATCCTAATTACCCTGT